ACAACATTATTGTATTATTTTAAAAAGGAAATGAGCGAAAAGAGAAAGGTTTTGGTTTGAAAAACGAAGACTTGTGCGTTCTACTGTATTGTATGAAAAGAGAAAAAGAATAAAGTTACTTGATTACTATTATTAGAGTAGTCGAGATATACGAGTATCATTCAAAACTCATGAACAGGAATGTTCCAAGAGGAAGGTGACCCTTCCAACCATGGCGACCTCGGAATACCCTTACCTATAAAAAATTCTTGAAAAGAACTTTTTTCATATATATATGAAAAAATGACCAAAACACAGAAGTTTTACGAAATTTGTTAAAAAATACTTTTTTTAGCTTCAAATAGAAAGAATTTTGTTTGTACTACATAAAATACGACTAAGACTGAAAAGTTTAATAAATCTCAACTCTATGAATTTAATAGTGTATAAGAGTTTTGATAGTATCAAAAATAAGAATTCAGCGCATATGTAGTGTGTTCAGAAAGTCTTTAAACAAAGGAAATTTTGAATATCTTCACGGAACTTCAATCAAATGATCTAATTTTTTTTTGTGAACGTAAAAACCAGTCCATTCGTACTCATAAAAGCAACAAATTTTTGTCCACTATACCATTAAAGAGCTTTGATGAAGATTTATTTACTATCCATAGATAGTTCTACTATAGGATTTCGTGCTAAAAATTAAATCACTTACTAAATTTGACCATTGTCTCATTTCCTTTTTGTTTTTCGCTGTTAAAACATGTAACAAACAGACTAACACACAAAAATATATATACATGAGTTGTACTATTTGATAAAACATACAAAAGAATATCCTATGATATCAATCTATAGCTGTGAGTTTAAAACGTTTGTGCGTTTTTTTATTAGTATAGTGAAGAAAAATCTGCTGATTTTATGTGTATGAATAAAAGCTTGAAACTGTTCTTTACTCTCACGAAAAAAAAAATCAACTTATTTGATCGAATTACAATGAAGATATTTGAATTTTTCTTTGTTTAATGACTTTGTGGACAACCTAGATAATATATTTACTTTGAACTTTATTACAATGTACTATGCACGCTATAGACTAGTGTGATACTTCTATTGTAAATAATCTCGCGTGACATATTCATATTGTTTTTTTGCTTTTTCTCATGAACCAGAAATTCCATGATATTGATATTTTCAAACATGGTTGACTATAATAAATCGATAAAATGATTAAAAGTTCATCTCAAACTTTAAAAGCATAAGAGATTTATAGGTTAAACAACATAACAAATCTCACGTAATATTTAACCGATCAGTTAAGTTTTTTAGGTTCATTTCATAGTTTTTGATAAACAAGAAACAATACAGTTTTGTATTCTTGTTTTATTTTTATGAATTTATTTCTCATGATAGACAACCAAACAATGATTTTACAATCTTAGACTAAAAAACAAAAAAAGTTTTTTTTTTCTAATTCTGTCAACGTCCGAAATTTAAATAAATCGATTATACAATATGTTTTTAATAGTAGATAGTAGCAAAAATCAATCCTTTGAATTTGAATTTACTTAATATTGTACAATACAATAATACCTGATTTTTGTGAAATATGATCTAGCATGAGTGTTAAAGTATTGGGGTCAAAATTTGAACCGCTCTCCGCATCACAGATCGCATATCAATAATATCTCGTGATTATATAGAACCTACTCCCTTATTAAATATCTCAAAGATTAAGTGAAATATTGTTGAAAATATATGTTTCAGAATAGACTGAATAAAATAATCGTCTTGTAATTAATTAGAGTAACTACATCGTGCTTCACATTTTAATCTCATAAAGATTGCACTAACTAGTTTTTGAGCGGGTCGTAGGAAGATCATTAAGATTAATTGAAAGTAACTCAACGTACTGAATTATTTCATATTTGCAACGTCATGATAGAATAAAATTGCGATTCATTCATATATTCATATGTATTTCTTCATACTATGACAAATAAATAATGTGTTGCAAATATAATTGACTGACGTTACCGGTAGACTTTATCAATTGTCTTTAATCTTTTAAATACGTACACATTATATACTTAATATTGTTAATTCTTTTTTAGTAGATTTAAAATGTATAAATTAGAAACTTATTTCATTTTGTTTGTGATTATTGACTGATGGCAAGTGAGAAACTTGAAATATTCTTTAAGTGCAATTCTTTTAATGTTGACAGGAAATACGTATTTTATATTCATTAAATAGTTTTAAAACAATTTCCAAAATTACTAATGTCTGAAAATTGTCATGTTATCATGACTCTCATCAAAGCTTTAAAAAAAAAAGTTTCATTTTTTCTTTGCTTGAGAAAACAATAGTAATCGAATTTACACATTTATTCTATTTTAAAATGAAATATTCAATCATAATTTAGTATGATTTATAATGATATGAAGTTATTTATTCCATTAAGCATAGATTTCAGTTTACTTGAGTATTTCCTGCTTTTTGTCTTTGCAATGAAAAATATGTTCTATGATTTATTTCAAATATTAATAGGTAAATAAGAACATTTGTTTGTTTTTCTTGTTAATAGATTTTGAATCTATATATAGAAGATGGCGCATATGTTATTATTCTCTATTGAATAGAAATCTTTATCTTTTCTCAAAAAACTTATCCTACATTCGAGTTGAATGAAAGTATGGTAAAAACGGAAATTGAATGTGTTTCTTTATTCAAATTAGATTATGTTTGCATCAATTACAGTTATAATTAGGCTTGTAGCAGTTCACGAAAAAACAAGAACTTTATTGAATTGCCTAACCAACTACTATATATATAACGAGTACATTTATGTTTAAAAATTAGTTTTATATTTTCAATGACCTTATGTCATTAAGAAGATAAAAATAGATACTCAATTAATTTGAATAACAAATTAACTTAATCAATTGCCTACAGCTTTTTTTCATATATTGATGAACACATCTGAAAATACGTTTTAAAAGAAAAAAACAAACTGTTTAAATTATATTCACTTTTGGACATAATTGATATAAATTTTGTTGAATTTTTAATAATTATAATAAGGATAAAAATAATTGCTTTGTTTAGCTATGGCATATTGGAAAATGTTATTTAGTGGAACTCCTAATAATAAGCAATGTCAAAGATTTAAATTACTTGATGTATGGATTAAATTTCTTGAAGAACGTTCTAATCAACGATCAATTACAAAAGATACATGGGATTTATTACTTGATTTTTCAACAACAATTAAATCTGATTTTTCAAATTATGATCATGATGGTGCTTGGCCAACGTAAGTATATTAGAAATAATTCTTTATATTTATTCATAATTTAAATGATTTACTTTTAATTCAGATTAATTGATGATTTTGTTGAATATGTTAAGACAGCACAAAATCAATCGTCTTCTGTCAATGTTTAATTTTCTACTTTATATAAGGAAAATAAACCAGTGATTTCAATAAAAATATAACTATACAAAGTTTCGTCATCGATTCTTTGTTATTTAACATTTCTTTCTTTTGTTCTTCTGAAAAATTCATATATTGGCTAATACCCTTTTTTGTCGATGGTTCATATGTATGTGTGCGTGTGTGCGTGTGAATTTTTTATACCAAGATGAAAAAAAAAATATAGGACATTAAGGTCTCTTGTATTTCGATTACTTTTACAGTTACTATATTTTAGATATTTTAAATGCATGGTTATTCACGTTTATATTATCTAACATTTTTATTTATCAAGAGGAAATTGTTTTCCAGGAAAGCGTATGTTGTTCAAATAATTGCTTTGTAAAATAATTTATGTGTGTGTGTCTCTTGATAATTTTGTTGAGATAGTTAGTAAAAATTACCGAGGCCTTTTTTACCTAGTCTATCAATTTAACAAATGAGTTTTGCTTTTCCAAAATTTTCAAGTACATATTTCTGTTCATAGACTGTGATTAATAATGATGATTATTCGTGTGAGTGGAACGGCTGATTTTATTGTATTAGCATACAATATGACAGACAGTCAGGGAAAAAAGACGGTGATCAAGAAAAATGAAACAATGAAGTAGGAAAAAACTGGCGCATGATGATCGCGGAAAAGATCGCCATTTTGCAGCAATATTGATGTTCGTCGACATGAGACATAGATCGTCTATATGTAAGAAAAAAATGACACAAATTAATAGATGTTAATATGTATTTAAATTATTCTGTGGTCACACACATACACAACTAGTCATTTTCTAATCGTTTTTGAAATTCATCGAATGTTATTGAATTGTCATCATTTATATCGAAGAAATTAAAAAGACGTCGATCACTTAAACTTGATCGTTGTTCGAATAGAGAGCGACCAAAACGTGGTCGACCAATAATAGCATAATATTCATGTACCTTGAATAAAAATATTTAATTTATTCAATAAAAAAAAAACATAGAAACCTCAACATACAAGTTGTAAATATCGTTTGAGTTCTTCACGAGAATGAAACCGTTCCGGTCGAAGTGGTGGAGCTACAAAGAGAAAGAACAATTAGTTTTTCTTAATTAATTAATTTATTTATTTAATCTAACATACGAGGTACATCAGAAAATGCAGATAGTGTTTGAACCACTTGAACAGAAATCAAAATCAAAATAATCCATGATAATCGATTTGCCATATTTTCTCTAGTTAACAATATCATACTGAATATGTTTAAATCTTTCGAATAAAAGATATAGATTTGAATTAATAGTATTAATGATAAGGAAAGTTGAATAGATAGATATATTCTTAGCCTATCGACGTTAGAAACCAAAAGAAAATGAATAGGAATATAAAATTGCTTCTCACAGATGAGAGAGTAAAAAAAAAAGAGAAGAAGAAGAAGAAGTTTTAATTTCTGATTATTTAAGTAAGAAAGAAAAAAGAAAATGACAATTTTTAATGCATGCTTAAGTTGTCTTTTCTGAAGGACTTTTCAGAGTTTTTTTTCCATACGTTTTTTCTTCGTTTTCCTTCATTTACTTAATGATTATATGTGACCTATAAAACAATTACATTTAGCTAAAAAAATAGACTTGACTTAACTGAATGTTTGTAGGCGTATATCTAAAGTAAACAGCCATAATAATTATTTATTTCATTAATGAATTGATACTATCTATTTATTGTGCAACAAATTTCAATTTCTAAGATATAATTAAACTCACTATTACACATTTCATTTCTTAATATCATAACAATTAAAAGTATCACGCCTACGAGTCAACATTTTAATTAAATTTCATTCCTTTTAATACTTTTTT